CAGAATATATGTGAATCCTTTAATAAGATCACAGAAGAACATCGAATATAAAAACAAGAGAAGAGGAAACTTTGGCACAAGAATGAATGACAATATACTGCAACTCATGGAAGAAAGAAGAAAATCAAAGAACAACCAAAGCATGTACATAAATATTCAGAGACAAATAAGAAACGAAATACGAAAGGCCAAAGAAAATTGGTTAAAAACACTATGTGAAGAGATAGAGTTGTTGGAACAAAAACACAATACATTTAATATGCATAAAAAGGTAATACAAGCAGTTGGTCTTCAAAAATCCAACACAGCAAACGGCAAGATCAGCAAGGCAACATCAGAACAGATAAAAATAAAAAAATATGCATATGGACCAAATATATACAAGAACTCTTTGATGATAATAGGCCAGAACAACCTCCGTCCTACATATGTAATAAGTAATAACAAGATCATGGCTGAAGTCAACCTTTATGGCTCTACCAAAGGAAACAAAATACGTATCCTGCAATGATTTCCGGACCATCAGCTTAATGAGCCACGTCTTAAAGTTATTTCCAAAAATCATACATCATCATCATCAATGGCGCTACATCTCTTCGTGAGTCTTTGCCGCGTTTACTATTGCCTTCCATGTTTGTCGGTACTGTGCCAGTAATTCCCATTGTCGCACTCCCATCTTCTCTAGATCTTCTCTGACTGCATCTTTCCACCTTTTTCTAGGCCGCACTACAGACCTTCTTCTATCTGGCCTTTCCCAGAACACATTGTTTATAAGGCGATTGTCGTTACTGCGTATCACATGTCCTGCCCATCTAAGTCTATTAGCCTTTATATATCTGACTAGATTTTCTTTTCCGAATAGAGGCTCTAGCTCGTTATTGTATCTGCCCCTCCATTCGTTTGTCAAGCTGTCTCTGCAAGGGCCATAATATATCATTCGAAGAATTTTACGTTTCCATACCAGCAATTTATTTACTTCTCTTTTTGTTATCGTCCATGTTTCGCTTCCATACGCGACTGTTGGTCGTATTATGGTCTTATATATCCGAATCTTTGCACCTCGTGGAAGAAGTTTTGACTTCATCAGATGTTGCATTGCAAAGAAAGATCTATTTCCTGCCATTATTCTCGTAAAAATCATACATCAAAGCATATCTAAGCGAAGAAAAAATCAGCTGAATACAGTTTGGTTTTTGGAACGCAGTGGGTACGAGAAAGGCTCTATTTAGCATACAAGTGCTATTTCAACGATATCGAGATGTAATTGCGATATTTATGCATGTTTCATTGATTACCATAAAGCTTTCGATACAGTAAAACACAAGAAGCTGGAGATATTAACAAATATTGGAATAAACACCTGTGATATAAGAATTATTATCAATCTTTATTGAAATCAGACATCGTGTATCCGTACAGAAGCAGGAGAATCCGATGATATCAAAATAAAACATGGGGTTCGACCGGGATGTATACTATCACCCCTCCTGTTCAACATGTATTCTGAGGAAATCTTTCAAGAAGCAGTCGCTGAAGCTGGAACTCGAATTAACGGAGAATGTACCGATAACATCACATACATGGATGACAGGGTAGTATTCGCTGACAGTTATGAAGCCCTTCAGGAGTTAATAAATATTATCACAAAAATGAGTCAGAGATATGGATTTTCACTGAATATTAAGAAAACAAAATGTATGATGATCTCTAAGAAAGAGCAGCAAATTGAAAGAATGAGAATGGTCAAACAATAGAACTTTGGTACGAATGTCAATGAAAATTGGGACTATTCCCTAGAAATAAAATGTAGGATAGAGAAAGCAAGATCTGTATTTCAAAAATGGCTAAACTATTCAAATGCCATGATTTATCGGTACCCATAAAAATCAGGTTTCTACGATGTTATATCGTTTTGAATAAGTTATGGTGCACACCAGAAATTGGATGGAATAATGATATCTTGTACAAAAGAGTACAACTTCAGACAGCTTGGGAAAGCTTTAAAACACACAGAAATATGGTAGTATCACTAATATGTCAACAAAAAGGAGAGTACTATTTTACAAGAATAGATGAAGCAAAAGGTGACCCCAACTGTATGTGGAAAACAATTAAACTCTTAGTTTCAAATAAAACGCAACAAAAACGGTATAAACATGTTAAATTTGAGAGCCAGTCGCAAGTCACTGGTTCTTTGCAAATAGCTAAAAAATTTAATTCTTTTTTGAACAGTGTACCCGACATTTATGAGTATACTGTACCGTTTTTAAATAAAACGAGCGGTATTAATTTTATGCTTTACTATGCTTGTTTTGCCATTATCCTTCTTATCAATGGCGAAAACATCTTGAAATTCTATCAGCATAGACTTCACTTTTTTAGTTCGTTCATCATCAAGATCTTGGCACGTTTTAATCATCGTCTCAACAAGCTCCTTTGGATACTTAGATTTCGACAGTTTCTCATTAGTATTCATGGAACAAATCGAAGCCACGGGAACACACTGTCCGATCAAAGTTCTTTTACTTAGCTTAATATCAGTTCCCTTTAAATTCATAACTCTTACAGGAACGACATCTCGAATTCTCACCAAAGCTTTTGCCGTTAGGAACTCGGCATTGTTCACATCTTCGACCATCCTTAAACTTCCCTCTCGGCAGTAACCATCAGGTCTGGTCATCAAAATTTTCTCACTATTACCAGGTATTGTTACGTCGCAAGTAGTTATTAAGCTGATAACATCTTCTTTCTCTTCATGAAACGGCAACTCTTCACCACTGATCTCGAGAACTCCATCTTTGACATTCAATACAGCCCCAACTTTCCTTAGTAAATCCATCCCCAATATGAACTCATCGGAGATCTCTGCAATTAATACTCTATGTTTCACTGTGGTCTGGCCAATGGATACTGACATATTAGCCTCGCCATATGTATTAATTATCTGACCAGTTGCTGTTCTAAGCTTTACTGTTGCAGGCGATAATTTAAGATGGTCTCGTACTACTTCTGGCCGTGCAATAGTTCTTGTTGCACCTGTATCTACCAAAAACGATCTACATTTATTGTTAATACGACCCTCGATGTACAAGCTATGAATTCCACCGGAGACGTAATGTTCACAGTTACTATGGGGGCTGTGTTTCTCGAGGTCGGCAGTTGCCCCTTAGTGTCGACCCGTTCTAGTTTTCCGACTGTTGTATAATTTTCTTGCAATTACGACGAATGTGACCTACGTCACCACAATTCCAACATCTGGGCTCGCGTTTCTTCGGCATCGTATTACGAACTACTTTTCTTACCATCTCTTCCAGACGTTTATCGTTTGGTTCGTCGCCTTCTTCAATGGTTCTTACTCGATGGCTCCGTGAAGTTTGACTAGCTGTTTCATGTTCTAAAGCAATAGCGAGCGCTTCATCTAGAACTTTCGGTCTTGCTAGTCGTAAAGCTTTCTGCAATTCACTTTCTTTTAACCCATTGACGAAGGTATCTACAGCAATTTCTTCCAAAATGTTGTCTGGTACCTCAGGATAAGCCAACCGTACTATACGAGCAACATCTGCTTCAAACTCTTGCAAATTTTCACTTGCTCGTTGAACTCTACTTCTTAGTTGCGCCTTGTAGACTTGTTGTAGATGGGCATCTCCGTAACGTTTGTCTAGTCGAGTAAACAAGGTCTGGTAACATTTTTCTTGACCCTTAGGAATCGATCTTAGGATATCTGCAGCATCACCTCGTAAAGCAGCAGTCAAGGAGACAGCCTTTTCTTGTTCTGTCCAATGATTGGCTGTCGCAATAGCTTCAAATTGTCTAAGGTATATAGACCAAGAGGACTTTCCATCAAATGGTGGCAATTTGAATCTCATATGATGTGTCGTTTCGTCTCTCGGTGATTCTTCTTTTACTACCGGATCTAAGGCTACTTTATTAACTGGTGGTAGCACTTTTGTGTTAGTTATCATTATCTCTAATTGTTTGATCTTCTCTTCTACATCTTCTATCTTGTCGTTTACATTTTTCTGTATCTTATCGAATGTTCTTGAGACTTCTTCAAATTTCTCATTATTCTTTTTAGAAGTTTCTTCCATCATTTGAGAAACATTTTCAAATTTCTCGTCGAATCTTTTTGACACATTTTCGAGTTTCTGGTCGTTTTGTCTAGCTACTTCTTTAATAATTTGAGACGTTTCATTGAATCTTTCATCATTTTTTCTCGAAGATTCTTCAATCATTTGTGACACATTTTTTATTTTTGTTAAAACTGCTTCCTCTGCTGACTGAAACTGGAATGTATCTGGATCATCTCCATTATTGTTAAGAACATTCTTCAGTCGTTCTTGGAGGATCTTCTTGGACCCGCTGCAGTCTTCATCGCGTTCTTCTAGTTGCTCACGCAACTGTTTCACTGAAAGTTCTACTAGCAGCATCTTTGATCAGGCACACACGTACTTTTAAAATGTTCTTTCGTACAACGATCACTACCCAACTACGCGGATGTTCCCGACGAACAATATTTTTCAAAAGTTCAAAAGTCTCTTTTTTTTTCACTGTTAAATTTATTTTTAAATAAATCAATTGACCCCACACCTGACACCAACTGTACCGTTTTTAAATAAAACGAGCGGTTCGAATTTATATAAATATATTTATTTATAACTTTACAGTTCGATACTAGCTTATCAACTAAACTTAACTCCTAATTCCGTTACATATATATACCAAAGTATTATGTTCGAGAATATTCGGGACTAGTCCCACCTCTAATTCGTTATTCGACGGGTGGAATTTTACAGCGCTTTGATATATCGCGGAAACTTCTGGGTGCTTCGAGATGCGACCGTTAGGCGAGCCGCGTTCGTAACAATACTTAGAAGCGAAAGCTACTGGATAGTTAATGCCAGTCACTAAGAACTCTCAGTACTCGTTACTCCCAAGGAGTTCCACAGAGCTCAATATTAACGCCAAATTGATGCACATTCTACAACAGCGACCTTCCTTTTTGGAAACTATGCATTGCTAACATTTTGATCCTTTTGAAATATAAATAGTTCATATTCATCAATTTCTTGTGCATAAAGTAGAGATGACAGTACTACAAAAGGTTTTGAAGTTATAAATTGATGAAATTTCAATACAGAGGTCAATAACGGAGCGCAAGGTTTGCTGTCCTACCAAGAATAATTCATTATATGTTTTCTTTATAGGTAGACATGACCGTCTTACGTATTTTACCGGCAAATACACGACTTATTTCTAACGAAAATTTAAAAAAAGTCGTTTCACGAGTCGGGTGTTACGATGAAATTATGGAATGGGACCGTCCTACGAACAAGGAGGACGATTATTTTGCGTATAATCCGGCTCATTGGCCACGGATAACTTTCAGGAGTCTGGAAGTAGCTATAAATAACAATCTAATTTATGGTAAGTATTAAATTTACTGGTGTAACTTAGTGGAAAGATTCCCTGAAAGATCTGGATATGTACTTAATAGGATTATTCGATAATTATGTGACTAACAAAAAAAACTGAACGTTTTCCGATAAAACGTCAGTTTCCCTCCAACCTCTTTTTCTCCAAAAAGATTTGTTCAGCGATCCAACACTAAATTGCAAGCGTATCTTCTAGCTGGTAGGATTTGATGGGAAAAAAGGTGTTGTGGATCATGACATGGTTCCCCCGGGGTAAAGGTGTTTGAGGGGAAACCATGAGGTCGCGTGGGCAGGTTTGATATTCCTGAAGTAGATCTGTCCTCTACCGGGATCGCAAAGGATCACTGAGAGGATGATTGGAGGAGGAATATTGGAGGATTGGCAGTCGTTAGCCAGAAGGTTTCAAATGTGAGCAGAGCAGCCTTAAGTAATAATATCAAGATCTAGTCCCTTCTCTAGCTAGAGACCCGTTTTCTTTACGTTAGCGGCATTATCTCTAACTACTGAGCAAGCTTTGCATTTCAATTCACACTTCTTAGTGCTATCATATGTAATTGATTTAAGATAATCTGAAGTATGAGCATTTCTTGATGTACCAAAAGTTTCTCATAAATAAACTTCACAGAGTTTGTGGTAACTGTAACGCACCCTATGGGATCGTTATGGACATTCGACCAACCACCAAAACCTAATCAAACATCTTCATGTTGTACAAACTCGCGAAAGTTTTACATTTCTTCTTCTTCATGTACCATGTCCTTTCAGAACGTTGGTTACCATCATAGTTATCTTAATTTTATTCACTGCCACCCTAAATAGCATGCTTGTATCTACACCATACCAATCTCGCAAGTTCTTCAACCATGAGGTTCTTCTTCGTCCTGGACTGCGTTTGCCTGCTATTTTTCCTTGCATGATATTTTGTACCAATCTATATTTGGGACCTCTCATTACATGTCCGAAATATTGGAGCTTTCTCTGCTTGATGCTTTTTATGATCTCAGTAGTCTTGCTGAGACGTACAAGTATTGTGGAGTTACGAATCTTCTCCACCCAGGAAACTTTTAAAATTCTTCTATAGCACCACATTTCGAAAGCCTCAAGGCGATTTAGATCGATTTTATTCACAGTCCAGGACTCGACAGCATAAAGTAAGACCGAGAACACGTAGCAGCGAAGTAGGCGGATCCTTAATGCCAATTTTAGGTCTCTGTTACATAACACCTTGGACATCCTTCTAAAAACAGCTCTAGCCTGCTCTATTCTGGATCTAATTGCGCCGTGATTTTCTTCATTACAGTTTAATTGCTGTCTAAGGTAGACGATTTTATCAACTTGCTCAAGTTTGGTATTATTTACATATATAGACGGTTTTATATTCTGTTGTTTACTTATTACAAGTATTTTGGTTTTCCTTATGTTAAGATCCAGACCTGCCTCCCTACAACTCTCAACGACACTATCAAGTAGTGTTTGCAGATCTTCTTGACTAGAAGCTAGGAGTACTGTATCGTCCGCATATCGCAAATTATTGATGACTTCGCCGTTCACAAGTATTCCTTCTTGTTTTTCAGAATTTCAGGATTTCCTCATTATAAATATTATCAAGCAAGTGTCCGCTTATATGTCTTCGACTAGACGGCTTGTAACCAAGGCGAAGTTCTTCTATGAGACGAATAAACTGTGGATGATAAATATGTCTAAATGGCGAACTTGCAGCAAATATATAACGTGCTATTTGCCTGTCTAGAGCCTCCTTTTGGTATGTACTTGTTTTGATAAGAAAGGATTCCATCCTTTTGCGATCCTTACCGCTAGGGCATTGAAAATCTCCTCGGCGTTGGTTTTCTACGCCGAGGAGATTTTCCGAGGAGATAAAATTTTCTTTCTACGTCATCGGCTGCTAACCACTCACGTATCTCTTCTTGCTTCTTGGTTAATTTCGTAATATCGTGGCAAAATTTTTACTAAATGTCCAATTTCTTCAGTCGTTTCTTCAACATTTTCTTGTTCAGGATCGTCAATCAAAATCCCATCAAAAAGTTTGTTCCAGCAACTTTTTATTGACGAAATTATTGAAACTGTTAGCTGTTTTAGTTAAACGATGTTTTGGTTAAAAAGGTTGCGGTTAACGGAGGTTTTACTGTAATGCTTTTAACATAGCGACTATTTCTACTATGTCAAATGCTTTGTGGAAGTCAACAAATATCCATTATACTGTTAGACGAGTTTTAAGGCACTGCAGATGGTCATAAAGAAATACTCTTAATCTAGACTAGGGTTCAACATGTTTGAAATAACGTAAAATTAATAACTGTCAAATTTTTTCAATTGCTCTATAGGTATTTTTCCAAATTTCATAATTCATGCGTTACATGCCTAACTCTGATTATAATTTTCAGAGTCATTTAAACCCACCGTTCCAAATCTTAACGGAGACTGCTGGATAATTTTTCAGACATTATGTAATAATAAACCAAGTGGACATACAATAGTTAAGGTAAAGATATTTGCTCATACTCTGTAACCTAATAAACTATAGATGGATAAGGATAATGTCAAACACAATGAAAATTTGGGAGAGAACTGTAGAGAATCGTTTAAGAAGGGAAACATCGATAGAGGGGCTCCTTGGTCAATGCTTTGATGATATCGTGGAAGAGAGCAAAGAAATGTTGGAAGAGAAGTTGAAGGGTTGGAGAAGAGTTATTGAAGAGGGAGTACTTAGGTTAGTAGGTCGAAAACGGAGTATATGTGGTTGAGAGGAATAGGAATGGTTGGCGACATCGAATTGGTTGGGGAAAAACTTGGACGAGTAGGAGAATTAAATACCTTTGCTTCTCCTTAACGGATAATGGGATAACAGATCGCGAAATTGCCCACAGGATACAGCTACAAGCGACATAGTCAACATCTAACCGACGTGTTATATATATTAACACTGTCAATTTGAAAAAAAAAACTTACCACCCTCTATATTTCAGTCAGTGTAGAAAATCTAAAAATATGCAAAAACACGGCAAACTAATCTTTAAGACGACTTGTAGGTTGGTTTTTAATTAAATTATATCAACCTTATAGGTGGAGGCTTAATATCTTAAATGAAAAGTGGGATGAGTGATATCATATTGTAAGGATCGTTTTTCCTCACCTTTTCAAAAATACCGTACACTTTATCTTTATTTTAAGTGCTTTTGGAAAAACCAAGTAAAACTGTGATATATTTAATATATTTAAGTACCAAGTGTTTTACAATAAAACAAAAAATGAATAAAAATAACTTATTTTATTACATTTTCGAAATGTAATTTTTGCATTTTTTAAACAGTGATTAAGTTCGCTCTCAAACTTCATCCTAACATTCCGAAAAACTTCTGCCGGAAGTTTCCTACGTACATCTATTATAATCTCGAGGCTGTAGTTTATAAACAATCAATTTTAGATGCCCTTACAATAAGAAATCTGGAGGCGATAAGTTGGGCCATCGTGGTGGCTATTCTATTGCTCCTCTTCGACCAAACTATCTGTCAGGAAATCTATAATTTAGATATCGTCTAACTGGAAAAAGGTAGTGTGGTGAAGCTCCATCTTCTTGGAAGTAACTAAGATTTTATAAAATCCAGCCGCATTAATTTGATTTTTCAAAGTAGTTGTTATTAGGAGTTTTTTTAAACAGATTTCAGTAGAGCTCACAAGTCAGATTTTCTTCAAGGAATAAAGGTCTAACAATAGTATTCACGAAAATATTAGCCCAAGCGTTCACTTTCTTTGAACATTGTGTATAATCTTCCCTAAAGACGTCGTAGATTTTCATCGTTCCAATATCGACCATCATAGCCAGCAGCGAGTGAAGAGCCATCATCGATGTGGGGGGCCAGAATTCAGTTTCAGTTTGGTACTATTCTTGTAGTCCATGATAACTTAAAAATATCTTTTGGAAAACATGGCAGCATCAGTGATCTTTCTGCATGAGATAATACGTATTAATTTATATATTACTCCTTGTCGCCACACAATGGTATGCGGCAGATAAATCAATGAAAACAGTAGATGTTTTTAGTAGTTTTTGGAATCCAATTTCCACATAGTTAGCTCAGACTTGATCTGTGCGCTTATATAGTAATATTTTTCAAAAAATTTGTAGATCATGCTTAGAAGTGCAACTGGACGGTAATTTTGTGTTGTATCATTAGTTTTTCCTGGTTTTAAAATGGCGAAGATATTAGTTGATTTGAGGGGTACATTTTCCGTTTGAAGGATGTCTGAGAAAAACTTTACAAATCGTTGTTTGGTAAATATAAGTGCAGTCAAAGCCAGTAGCCAATTTCTTCACGAGTGAATGGATTAGAATAGTTTGTTTCGAGAGCACAAAGTTGATTCTATGGTCTTGAAGTTTCTTTAACTTTAGTTGTATGCAAGTAGTATTCGGTGACTTTTGAAGTCACTTGTCACATGTAAGACGTCACTTAATTTGAAGTCTGAGTGGGTTGTAGACTGTTTTTGATAGGGTTTGTCTGCTTGATTTTTGAATATCTAAGTTTTCAACTTCTCAGTCTAATTTTACATATAATTTTTGACTCTACTCAGACCATTCAGGAATATACTCTTTACTTAGACCATCAGGCCAGTTAGATTGCCTGAAGTTTTGTCTGGTATGTGGAAACAATATTCTAATGCCGATTTTGATCAGAATATAATGGTGTTTGCTGTGAGAAAAATCGAACGTTACCCTTCTTGTTGATGTTGGTTATTAATGCTAACAAAGAAAAAATGTTGACATCCTCTTTGATGTCTTCTTTAGGGTTTCCGAGGTATGTCTCCCGAACCCCCACACACTACTACATTGACCACTAACCAATGCATTACTGGTACTGGGATACCGTCGATGGTGACGAGTTCTCTCTTCTTTTTAATGTCAACTTTTCAACGCAGTCTCGTATTAAAATGTAACCGCAGGAATATTACAGAATCTGCTACAGGGATCAGTATGTTATCCATTCTAATAGGTTGATATCGCTCTCTTTTATATATGAAGTTTTCTGTACTGATTTTGTACCATTAATTTTAATTCTCCATTTTTTTGTCCAATCGTCATTTTATTTAATGAGATCTGCAATTTTTTGTAGCTTTTCATGATTTTATCCAATTGATCAGATAGCTTGATCGTCAACGAAATTCACATCATTTTCGATTTCTGGAATATCTTAGTCTCTGAAGATCCTGTTTGAAATGTAAGATTTTAATCATTGAGAATATTGTTTTGGTAGTACTTTAGTTTGTGAATGAGGACTTTATGCCATATTCTAGAGAAATTTTGAGCAGCATCAAGAAAACCGGCTTTCTTTCCTTTCGGTGTTCTTTCTATTAAATTAGTCATTCTTTGTATTTTATCCAAGTTCAAATGACTTTCCATGAAACCAAACTAATGAAGTGGTATGAGGTTGCTTTAATCTTTTATTGATTTTAATCTTTTCAGCAATAGTTTTTTGATGATATTTAATTATGATCTCTGCAACTTTCCAGTAAATCGGTACTTACTTAAGTCTGAATGAATTTATTAAGTAATTTTCTCTTTTTCGGTACTTTTCTAGGACTAATATTTTCATTTATCCCCTTTTACCATCATGGCAATCTGTATTTTGCAAACTGTGGGTCTGAAAAGATCTTTCGGTGTTGTGTTGAACCACGTACGTAGATTTTTCAGCCAGCAACTGGCCCTCGTTTTCCTTCTACTTTTCCTTGAAGAATTAATTGCGGCAACCCATATATTTCGCTGTTCCTCATGATGTGACCTTTAGGAGTAACAAATTTAATTTCCATTTCGTCTTGGTAAATATCAGTCAGATATTTCAAGGTCATTTTCCTTGTTTGGTTGGTAGAAATGTTTCAAAACCTCATAGACCTCGTAAATACGCATGCCCGAAAAAATAAATGAATCCTAAAAACATGCACCATTTTAATTTCATAGGAAATTGGGCGACAGGGTAGGATTAGGATTTGCACGTGCTAATGATGTTCAGTATTTCCAATAAACGTGACATATTATGTTTCTCTAATCTTAACATTCCAGTTAGTCATCGCATTTTTATTTATCTCACATTGAAAGGTGTAATAAAAATTTATGACTTCCCGTTTTCACTGCCGATAAGAATTGTTGTGTAAAAATGTAAAATATTTACATTGCACTAATTTGGCTTGTAAATAAGTCGTTTAAGAACTGAAAAAAATCTAGAGGACAAATAAATAAAAAAACAAATTAATGTATGATAAAAAATAATAGGATTTTGGTTTACATTCAGCAAAATATGTTTATATACGAGACGAAAACCTCGAATTCCTTGGGAAAAATATTCGCATGAGATTTTTTGCATAATCACTTCCGCAGAATAATGTTCAAGAGATGGCCCATACAAAAAGTGGTCCTAATTTATTAAACAGTTTTGTATAAATCAGTTGTATTTTTAGATTGGGATAAGGGCCTCAAACTACTAAAAACAATGTTTTAAAATCAAATAAGCCCAAACTAAAGTATCAGAAACTGATAGAACAAGATTTGGTGAATTCAAAAATAATTTTATTTTTGAACTTTAAAAATCATGATTTTTCGATTTTTTCAGTTCTAAATTGTATAAGTTGAAATGATCAATTGTAGAAAAAAATTACAATAAACCTTATTTATTCAGAATGATCCCAAAGACCGAAAATAAATTTGTTCAGATTTATAGAATTTGTTTAAAAACAATTATTGTTTAAATAAATTAGAACCACTTCTACTGGTATTATGTTTTAAGGCGAAATAAGTTAAATACAAAGTTATCAATTTGTCTGTGTATTTAAATGAAATGTACACTTCCTTCAACAATGAATGTTCTATCTTTTTTCTTCTTTCTTCAGCGCGCTGGATTGAACTGTGGAATTTCGTTTTGGCACTTGGATGGAGGGTGATAAACTATTTACTTTTATAGGGTTATATGACACTCTCTAGATAGTACTGATATTATGTGACTGTGCAACCGGAATAGTCTCTAAGTATTTAAGAATATTAATGCGGCATCTACATGGAGACGGAAAATTAGGTTACGCACGATAAGACACACATTCTTCTTCTTCAAGTTTCACTCCTATCGGAGATTGAAAATCATTCTGGCAATTATAATTTTATTGGTTACTCGCCTGAATAGTTCAATTGAACTGCATCCAAACCACTCACGGAGATTGCGTAGCCACGAGATTTTACGTCTTCCTACGCTTCTTCTACCTTTGATTTTACCCTGCATTATATTCCTTAGTAGTTCGTACTTTTCACCTCTCATGATGTGCCCCAAGTATTCCAATTTCCTGATCTTTATGGAATTTAAAACTTCGCATTGTTTTCCTAGTTGTTCGAGAACTTGTTCGTTTGTTTTGCGATCCATCCATGATATTTTCAAAATGCGTCGATAACACCACATTTCGAATGCTTCTAGGTTTTTAATGTTGGATTTTTTAAGTGTCCAAGCTTCAACTCCATACAAAAGGGTAGAGAAAATATAACATCGAAGCATTCTTATCCGGAGCGATATATTGATATCGCGATTACAAAAAAGTTTTCTCATTCTATTAAAAGTTGACCGCGCAATTTCAATGCGGCATCTTATTTCTTTTGTCTGATCAGTATCTTCTGTGATCCAAGGTATTTGTACGAAGACACACATACATACACGTTAATTAAAACTAACTAAGAAATGAAATAATTAATAAAATGTTAAAATAACTAAAAAGTATACATGGAGGGACGAAATACCGAGCTTGTCACTTCGAACAGTTTGTATTTATAGGTCGTTGTTGTAGCCGTCGTTGTCGTCGCTATCAGACAGTTATGTTGCAGATGATTCGCTATCGTCATCTAAATTTATAATGATCTCATGTGCTTCATCCAGAATGTATTCTCGGCTGAAGTACTCTTCCTCTACTTATCAACAATTCTATCTACAAAAAATTGTGAATTACTTTCAAATTAGTTATAATGTAAATACATAAATATCTTACTTTTAAATTTGCACTTTTTGAGCTTTCTTAGAAATTCTATTCGTTTGGCTCTTGTGTCATTTTTTTCGATTAAAATTTTCCTATTGTCTTCCACTTTTCTCCACCTAAAACCTAATTTCTTCACATTTTTTTTTTAAAGAAGATAGTTTACCAGTTACAATTCCTTCGTTTCTAACAGATTCGTAAACGGCTTACATGGTACGTCTTCTTTTGTGGATAGTAGCAAACGTGTAAATGGTATTTCTTATGACGTGTTCTTATGATGTATATTTATATTCTTGAATGAAAGGATTTTGATTTTCTCGGGGCGCTCAAACCCTAGAACCGGCACTGTCTCCAGATTATAGTTCGGAATAGAATACGTGTAAATAACATGTTTCTCTAACCACTTCAAAATGGACGTGACCGCTAGAGTATTGAGTAGTGACTCATTGCTAGAGTACCGCTACATCTCGTGATGACTTAAAATCCCCTACGTACATGGCTGTATGGTCGTAGGAATTAAGCAGATGGGCAGGCCAGGTAGTGGTGGGAGGTTTCTAGGTGTTGGCTATTGTGATATCGCTGATTTTCAAGGTTATCTTCTGTATGTTGTTTTTGGTAGAGGTGGAAAATAAGGATATATTTCCTATACTTGTACGTATGTGTATTGAGCTGTGTGTCTTTTTTGAATTGCGAACAGGTTAACATCATTTTCTTTTAAAAATTTGTGAAGAATTTGATATTTTGTTCTGCGGATCTCTTCTATATTACAGCGGTAAATTCGTATACTAGGTTAGAGTCCTCTTGTCAGTTGGATCTCATAAGATCCGTTTTTTGAATTATTTTTGACCCCATTAAATTCTTGTCAAGAGATCTGAAGATTGTCAGGCGTCTTTTGTTAGTTCAGCATCATTACCCAGGGTGCACGTGTAATATTTTATTATGAACGCAAACTAGATTTATAAAATCCTGAAGATAGATCGGTCGGGATATGCAGAAAGATTGGAAATGAAATACTTGTCAAATTATTTCTATTTCAAAATCGAACAAGGAGACCGAAACAAAGATGAAATAATAATGTTTAAGTATATTTAAAAAGTATGAAGATATAGGATTGAGCTAAGGAAAAATAGAATAGAGGAAAATGAAAACAGGTAGCTAGAGGTCCCTAAATGCATACTTTGATATATTCTTTAACTGTAATTGCCATACTATCCGGTGCGTTTTGATCCAGTTCAGTCTTCTTACAAGTCTCTCTGATGATGGGTAGACACTGAAATACGTATAAGAGACTCGAATTGCATCGAAACGCAACTGTCTATATTTATTTATTAGGCAATAAATAATTTTTAGGGACGACTCTGAAACAGAATAATTTGTGTTTTGGTATAGTATTTGGTAATAATTGTATTGTATGATATAAAATTGTAATTTTCAACCCTAGACCTCCAACACTGTCTCAGTTAAATAAATAGAAAAGATTTAATGATTGGAAATATTTTATTCTAAAAATTTAGGTCCATAAATCAAACTAAACTGATAATGTTGAAATTTGAAATTTTAAGATTGAAAAAGATTTAATTATTTTTCAAATACGATTGTTTTTCAGTACGATTCTGTTGCTCAATCCATAAAGAACATTAAGTTACACGAGCTTACTTTACACCCTTGTTATTCAAATTGTACCACTTTCCAATCGTGTAAAAAACAGTCCCAGGAGATTCTTAAATCAGAAAATTGCGTAGAATTGAGACGATTGCGTCTGTCAACCGATGTTCTTGATGGTAAGTATACTATAACGTAAAATAAATGATGTTTTAAATAGGTTATTTTAGTAATACGAAAATAATAATATAATAATAATAATAATAATAAAACCAAAAATTACCTGAAATATATTGTCAAAGACCCTCAGGTCCAAAACGACAAATGCCGATATGGATGCCAAGCCCAAGAAACGATTCAACATCTTACCGGAGGCTGCCAGGCATTTGCTGCAACTGAATATAAGGAACGGCATGACTCAGTAGGGAAGATCCTCCATCAAGAGATAGCTATTAAACTGGGACTTCTACAAACAAATCATCTCCCATATTATCAATACGTTCCAGAGAGTATGCTTGATAATGACAACTACAAGCTATACTGGGATCGCACTGTGCTCACAGACCAAACTGTAGCACATAATAGACCAGATCTCGTGCTAGTTAATAAACTAACAAGACAAACAACTCTAATCGATGTGGCGATACCTAACAACAATAATCTGCGTGTTAAGTACAACGAAAAGATCGCCAAGTACAGAGATCTGGAAATTCAAATAAGAAGACAATGGAGAATGGAAAGTACCCAGACGATACCTATTATTCTTTCTACCACTGGAGTCATTCCGAAGAACCTCCTAGAAAACATAAAAAAGCTGGGTCTAAATGAACATCTATATAAGGTCATGCAGAAAGCTGTGCTACTTTCGACGTCCAGATGCGTGCGAAAATTTTAGGAGATACACCGACGTATCAAGTCACCTAGGACTCGATAACATGGAAAGAGTCCCACCAGAGCTCAATCCTTTTGATACCGTAGGTATCTGGGATGAGTGAATTTTCCCCTTAGAGGGAGTGTGAGCCGTATGGCTAAATCTGGATAATAATAATAACACTGCCTGGGTAATTGCGGGGTGGATTGAGTAGTTCTGCGGTTACCACAGCCGGTCCCAAGCCCGGATAAAATGTGGAGGTTGATTGGCAAGGTTACCAACCTACCAATTTAAAAAACTAATACTGCTCAAAGAAACAATCTACAGCCTCGGAACCGGATTACTATGGAAATGACCACGGCAAGAAATAAGGACAAGAGAAAAATATCCAAAATATGACTACGCCGGAAATAACGACGCTAATCACTATAATGGAGTTGCAATCGTAGTCGCAAAATACTTAGATCAATCAGTTGTAAATTATATCCTTATGTCTGGCATAGTAATTCTAGTGAAATTTAATTCAAAGTCCTTCATTACCAACGTAATTCAGGTCTATGTTCCAACTCATCCAGTGATGGAGATAATTCAGAAGCATTTTATAAAGATCTTACTGATGCTGTAGATTTTGTTAAAGCAGCAGAAAATACCATAGGTCTCGGAAATTATAACGCCAAAGTCGGCCAAGGACGCTGTTTGAATATTGGGGGGATTATGGGTTGAGAAACGGAAATGAACTTGAATATCTCTTTGTCCAGTTCTGCCAAGAACATGATTTCAATATATCGCATACTCACTTCAAATTAACACCGAGAAGACTCTACACCTAGAAATCAAATCCAGAATAAGTGAATACAATTATTAGGAACCAAATCAACTTCATTCTAATAAAAAATCGATTTAGAAACTGCAATAAATCAACTTAAACTTATCCAGGTGCTGACATCGGGTCTGATCACAATCCCATAGTCGCTGTAATAAAATTAAAATTAAAAAAGGCAATAAAAAAAGTCTCGCAAAAATATTGATATAACCCAACTACATCAGTTTGTTAAACCATTTTATTGAAATATTTTCTAAAGGTAATATATGGTCGTATCTATAATAAATGAACGAAAGAATATTACATATGAACAGCAGTAAAGGGGCAAGGACAATTCTGGCTATTCAGGTCTAGCTAAGGTCCATTCTGGACGTATGAGGTATCATCGGAAAGGGGAGGGGGTAGCAAATACGTTAAGACAAAAAACAAAGATGGCGGTATTGCCAAAACGGCACTAAGCTGTTACCTGCCAAACGGCTCAACGTATAACAATGTGTAACGTATCGATGAAAAGGGGAGGGGCAGACTAATATGTAGACACAAAAAACAAATATGGCGTCATTGCCAAAAGGACACTAAGCTTGTAACGTCTAAACGGCTCAACGTACAACAATGTGTATGGTATCAATGAAAAGGGGAGGGTTTCGCTCAACTATGGGTAAACTGTTTTGGCTACGGGTTTTGGGGGTGGCGGTAGGGCGAGGGGTGCCTGGGACGGGGGTACTCGATGTGTCGTCGATACATGAAAATAGCGTTAACTCTTCTTCTTTTCGTATAAAATCGTCCAAACGTGAAGATAGCATCAATTCTTCTTCTTTTCGTATCGTTCACACTTGAAAATAGCGTCAATTCTTTTAAAGCGTAACAGGGGTTGTGAGAAAAAGGGTGCGTTGGCTCGACGGATTGTGACGTACAAAGGGGTCGTTGTAAATGGGGAGGGGTAAGCGGGGGTATTGCCTAAAACGGTATAGCGTCAGGTATGTCGTCTGTAAGATTTAATGAAAACTATGTCAACGCAAATGGAGAACTCATGGCTAATCTCTGTGTTTTTAACGAACTGAGAATCAATAATACATTATTCGACCATAAGCTCCAGTATAAATATGCATTTGAACACTCCAGGGAGCACAAATCTATGATTGCTTGTATAGTCACTAATAGAAAAATCCACCCAAAGCAGATTCTAGACATCCGAACTTTAAACTCAGCAGACGTAGGGAGTGAACACAAACTAGTACTAGCAAAAATAAGAATGAAAATAACACCAAATACTCCAGAATCCCGAGACACCTATAGAAGAATAGGAAATGAAACAAAGCAGTTGGTCAGAAGAACAAAAAATGAATACTGGGAACAGTTTACAAAAAGGATGGAAAGGGACTTCTACGGTACACAAAAACAAATATGGAGATTCATAAGAAACCAACGGAAAGAAATGGCAGAATTGAAGGAATACAATAACATACCAGCAAACTAATGGGAAAGATACTTGTTTGACGGAACTGTTTAAAGGAAAGGAAAATAATAATCAACGTAATAACGTACCTGAATTAAGATATGAAATAGAAAAGTTATGAAGGGGGAAATGTTGTTCCCCTTCATAGCTTTTTGATTTCTTACAAAATTTTTAGTCAACTTAGGATTTCACTTCCGTTTCGAACTAACTTTAATAATTTTATTAAAACTTATCGTGAATCATCTAATTTCTTCAAAAAATGCATGATAACGTAAAGCCAGAATAGCCTATACAACAATATATATATTGTAATACAGTATTTTAAAGAATTATTATTAAAAATCATTTTGGCTTATCGTAAATAATACAACGTACATTCCTTTTGTCTCACTGTCACTTTCACTAGGCTTATACTCTTCTTCTTCTTCATGAAAATCGGAAAAAAATTAACATCACTCAATGGCTCGGCCATCTTAAATGCTGTGTAGGTAAGTCTGCAAATCTGCAAAGTCTGCTATAGTTGAACGAAAGTGACATTCATATTTTGTAATATTTTTAATAGATGGCAACAAGTATAGGCATTTGTGGTTCATGTGGCATGTTTAGAAAAAAAAAATAATTTGTAGAGGTGTCATCATCATCATTTTGGCTTTACAACCCTGTGTGGGTCCTATCCTTCCCAAGAATTCTCTTCCAGTCGTCCCTATCCATCGCCTTCCTCCGCCAAGCACGTATTTCCATATTTCTCACACCTTGGTCTATGTTATCTAGGAATCTTGTTCTGGGTCTTCCTCTTTTTCTTTGACCAATAGGTCTATCAAGGAGCGTTTTTCTAGCTGGGTCGGTTTGCTCCATCCGCATTACATGGCCTACCCACCTCAGACGTCCTATTTTAATGTGTTTTACGATATCTGGTTCCTGGTATATTCTATAGAGTTCGAAGTTGTATCGTCTTCTCCAGACACCATTTTCATTTACCGCTCCATAGATTCGCCTCAGTATTTTTCTTTCGAAACATCCTAACATGTTTTCATTGCTTTTTGTTAAAGTCCAGATTTCTGAACCATATGTTAGGACTGGGCGTATTATTGTTTTGTAGAGTTTTACTTTTGTATTTCTTGATATAGCTATAGATTTGAAAAGGAGATTAAGCGCAAAATAGCATCTATTAGCCGTGCAAATTCTGCGGTTTATCTCTGCGGTAATGTCATTTTCAGTATTGACGAGCGTTCCCAGGTATACAAATTCGTTAACTGCTTCGATGACGTCGTTTTCTATATCAAGTGGCCGTCGTATTTGTGGTTGCGGACCTACTTTCATGTGTTTCGTTTTATTAATGTTTATTATTAAACTCATTTTTGTAGCCGCTTCCTTTAGTGCTACATACGCCTCTCGTTCTGCGTTTTCCGTTCTCCCAACAATATTGATATCATCAGCATATGCTAGGATTTGCACAGATTTGTTATATATTGAACCGGTAGTTGTGATTTGTGACGTACGTATTACTTTTTCCAGAGCTAGATTGAATAGTATACAGGAGGGTCTCCCTGACGTAGCCCGTTATTTGTAGAGGTGTACTGAACTTAAAAATTACAACTATGTTGGATAGGCACATCTGTCTCTGAGCTACTCATATGATCACACAGATACACTAACCTTATCAATGAAAACAGCCAATTTTGGAATTTAAAATTATTTACATCTTATATGTTTTAGAAATTAAAAAAGATCCAACTGAAACGAAGGTAGATTCTAGCGAGATTCCCTTTAAGAAGAGACGAATCGGTGTTTCAGAAGAAAGTGACAATAATTTTTTTGAACAGATTTCTCAAGATCTGAAATTCTTAGAGGAACTGGAAATAACAGCTGGTAAAAAACGGTATGTTTTATATTTATTTGTATCTGTTTATTAAAAAAGAATATATTTTTAATCGATTTCTAGAAAATTATTGTTTTTTCGATTTTTAAAAGTTATCTTTTCTTATCTTTCTTGTTGTTCCTGTTTCTTTTCTAGGTTTCTTTTTTGTGTCACTTAGTTAATGTTTTACATAATCTGTCGTGTTTTTAATGGCTAATGGATTAAATCCATAGTCAAAAATAACCAACAGCACACATATATTTCGTACGTATTCATTTTTCGTTATTAATATTTCGTAACTTATTAATTCGTTCTGTATATTGTTACGATTAATTTGCCTACCAAATTGGGATATAGGGGATTGAAAATTGGGGACACAAATCACTGGGATCGAGATAGGGTAAGCAAAACAAACTGAAACATTTGCGAACAGCTACTCAGAGTTTTTTTTTTGAGAACTGGGTCTTGCCATACTTTGGATTTCGTATGACCCTCATTCAATCACGCTTCGTCCTTATATTAAATTTTTTTGCCAAAACGTCTAAAATCACGAATGTTTTGTAAATAGTATCTCATAGATATTTTATTTAAAGTATCATTTTATTTAAAGTATCATCTGCGTCTGCATTAATTCCTCGTTAAATAGCCTTTAACGTGGACATTTCGTTCCTAAAATAAAATCCATGAACTGTTCTTCGGATTATACTTTTCGTAATATCGTCCAATACAATTTCTGTATGTCTTTTATGAATAGGTTTTTGAAGTGGTTTATTACCTTGAATTATTCGAAAAACCGTACGAGCCGATATTTTCGTTAAATCACAATACAATGCCGCGACGTCCTCTATAAACATATCTTCTTCTACGTAATCCTTCATAAACCGATTTAATCATTTATCACAGATAACCACCGCCTTTTATCCGGTTTATTAACATACGTAATGCACGTTGGTATTGATACCTTGTTACTCGACTGTGCGCTCATGTAATACTTCTGACTACCTGATTTTAATATTTATTTCCACTATTTGCCGGCGAGTTTTAAAGTGGTTGCCGTATTGCAATAAGAATATTACTCTCGAAAAGGATAACAATGTCCGCCCGTCCCTCTCTTGACTTTCAGGTATTGGCGACGTGCAAGTACTTGGATGTGATACAAGAAACGATCGTGCGCGAGTAGCGGAGAAATCTTGCATTTTTTACTGCAAATTTTATAGATTTCATAAATTCATATTGTCAATTGTCATATTTCATATTCGTTTGTTTATTTACACCTTCTGTCACTGAAGAAAATGGGATTTAGGAAATGCTGTGTTATAAATTGTAAAAATACAACAAAAAATTATCAATTTAAGTTTTATTCGTTTCCAACTTCGAAGCACAAATTACTACCAAGAGAAACGTGGATTTATATCATAAAAAAGCATAAGTAACATAACCTAAATTATGCATTATTCTTGCGCCCGATTTTAAAGTCAGTTTGAAATAAATAATAAATAAAAGTTCACTTTTAAGTGTAAATTTTAGTTTCATAACACTCACTTAGAGTTCATTTTAACCCAAAAATCAAGTTTAATATTTAAATTTTATTTTTTTGAAGTTTACAAAAATGCATCAAGTTCAAGTTTTTCTGAAGATGCATTAAGATATATTCGCTGTCCAAAAGTTTACAGGGAAAGAATTAATTGTTCAAACCAATATGATGATATCATGGGCTTAACCTGCTAATTTATGCATTTATGTATTAGCATTATTTATGGTAATTTATTTTTCTTAATTCTTCCACATAATTCTTCCATTCTTTTTTGACATTTGCCACTACTAAAGCTTTTTCATTTGACTCAGTGCTTGGGTGAAAAGTTATTTGGTGATTTACTTTATCAAATCCAGTTTTTATTAGTGCATCCATATTAGCAGTAATGCTGTAATTTAATAATATATTTATTTTTAATTACGCTACATCAACGTTTACCTTTTAATTTAATAACATACCGACATAACCTCAATGTTACTTTTTCTTCTTATTCTTTTTTGGGGCTACGTCCTTGACAGTTATCCGGTAACCTCGATCTAACATGAAAGCGCAGTAAATTTTGCTGATTTACGACACCAGGTGTCGCTGTTCCGAACTTGCACGGTCCCAATACCTCAACGACACTGATAAGCTGCACGCGGTACTAAATAATAAATTTCGCAACAAGGAGAGTATACTTTATCTAGTTCGGACTTATAGCAGATGTAATCGGCAAAAATGATAATTGATAAGTAAATTTGTGTGCTAATAAATAAATAAATATATATCCGCTTACTATGGAATGTTTACGAACTACAAAATGTCTGCCCTGACAATCCTACTGATTTCAGGGTAAAGATCGGTGAATTAGTAAAAAAGTAAGTGAATTAGTTCCAGATACATTGTAACAAGAGAATGCTAATAGAAAGAAAATAATAAAGCTTATTAAAATATGATAGGGGAATATCAATACCATGTTAACAATAGGTAAGATGCAAGAAATAATTCTAGAAATGAAAAAAATATAAATTGGAACTTATTACTTCTTGAATAATATTCGATTAATTTTAAGATACCCCTCATATTTCTATGGATAGTATTCTGGATTTTATTCATAAAACAAATAAAATAAACGTTCTGTATTAGTTGGCTTTATCGATTATTTTATTTACAGAAAAATATCTTCGTCCACCCTAAGCGCCTTTGGATATCTACCGAACTTCAAAAATCTGCAGCGGCTGTCAATGTTCACTCTACCGTTGTTAAGCGGATCGTTTCTCCCAAAGGTAATTTCAACTGGTTTTATTTAAATCTAGTGCCAAAACTTTTTGAAAGTTAGTTTGAAATAAAAAAAAATGTAAAAGAAACTATTAAAAAAAATAATTTAACTTCTATCTATAATTTGTTATCTTTTTATTTCGTGTACGAACTACATTGCTCATAAATCTAACAGTTTAAGTTAAAAAAACTTAAAATCAAAATACAGCACAGTAAAATTATAATAAAATAAAATACATTTTATTAGATGAAAGTCCATATAAAAGGTGTCTCATTGATTGGGTCACACCTCATAGTAAAAGATCCCACTGCAAGATCACTATCTTCATAACTTCACTATTAATCATCAAATTCACATTGTTACGTACATTTAAGAATTTAATAATAGGAAAATACATTGATAACAGATTGCCAGTCAAAAAGTGGTCAAACATAGTTTCTTCTTCTTCCTTCTTTTATGTATTAAGTTTCTTTTTCAATATTATCAAATTGTTTAAATTATTGCACCATCTTATTCTTGGTCTGTCAATACTTTTTAATCCATTTGGTAATACTCTTCTTATGTGTTCGCTTCTCTCCCTATCCAACAGACTTTTCCCTGATATTCGTCGGAGTATTTTCATCTATGTTGTTTCTAGTAGTCGTCTCGTTTTAGATCTGTCAGGTCTGGGTCGAAAAATGTATTATTGATTCTCAGTTCGTTAAAAACACAGAGATTAGCCATGAGTTCTCGATTTGCGTTGACGTGGTTTTCATTAAATCTTTGTTTTACTCCTGGAACTATTTCAATTCCGATTCGTGCATTAAAGTCAGTTTGCAATTGTTGGCAGAATGCCTCTCGTTCCTCCTTAGGTTTGCAGTCCTCGGGGCTATAGATACATTGACATGTATCATACAATGACATTTAATTTTTGATAGTCCATTGTGATGTTCATATGTATTATTCTTTCGGAGATATAACGGTAGTTATTTATGTTGTCTTTAAATTTTTTATGGACAAGTATACCTACACCTGCTTGTGCCCGTTCTTCTTTCTTTACTCCATTGTATGCTAGAAAATATTGGCTATAGCCTTTTTGGCCTTTACCTTTCTTCTTGGTTTCTTGGATCTTGGATCCCACAAATAGTTTCAGTTCTATTAATTGTAATGGACTACCTAAGTCTGACGTCACATTGGGCGGAGTTTTTAAAAACCTTTTCAAACATTTCTAATTTGTGTGTATTTGTCCATAAGAAACTGGAATTTTTAATTGTTTGAAGAATAAATAGGACTTTTGGTTATGAACATTATTCTGTGCGATTGGTATTATGTAAATAATGCAACAAAATAAGAGTGATTTACGTTAAAAATTATTTCACGTGATTGTTTTGTTATCACCTAACACTTATCATGCTTATTTTTTTCTACTTAACGGGTACCGCTGCTCTAATGATGGAGTGGATAACTATATAAAGCGGGCGCTCGGGTCAAATCGGTACGAAAATGAGGATCTGCGCTGGATCTTCGTGACTGGTGCGTAGACTACTTACAAAATCTCATGAACTTGACTCACTCGTTTGGTGACTTCAGTCTTCGAACGAAACGATGAAATTCGACATTACTGAAATCATTTGACGGCGGTTAGTTCTCATAGCAAGACACTGTCGACCTAGTTTGTGCATTAGTAGAATAGGTGGAGTATTTATTGTTTTTCTATTAAATCTTTATATGTACAAACAGTCGTTTGCAAGACTTTATATTTAGATACCAAAAATTTAAGTCAAATCATGTTTATTTTAATATTTGATTAATAATAATATTTTATTTAACTTTTTTTTTCTTAAACGTAACTGAAATTTAAAACCTTGTCTATTATCTAAAATCAAGTAGTTTTATTGGTAAAGAAATAATAAAAACGTCGTACATAGCCAAGGGAGGTAAATTAACTTTAAAATTTATTTATGAAACTGGAAAAGATTTGAAATATTACACATATATTTTATTTCTAATAGAGAGAGTAGCTCAAGCAACTGCTGCCTCAGAAAGTACGGTAAGGACGGTAATTTAGGAAGGGGAAAACAAACCATCAACTTCAAAATTTGGTTCACCCAAAAGAAGCATTTACAAGCAAAGCCTTAATTCATCGGGTTTTCATAATCATTCTTTCATTTCTATAAAACGCTGTATTTCCCGCTTGAATTTTTCTTTTTATATCTACACATTCATTTCTTCTGTTGGCTAGTACTCCCAAATATTTGAATGTTTCACACACACAGACACACACACACACACACACACACACACACACACACACACACACACACACACACACACACACACACACACACACACACACACACACACACACACACACACACACACACACACACACACACACACACATTTATATATATATATATATATATATATATATATATATATATATATATTGTTATGATATGTAAAATCGAGAAAAATATTGGTTTGCTTAAAATATTTCAAAGTTCAAAAAAATTAAAATAATTCAGATAAGTCGAAATAAACTACAAACATTTCGAAGAATGAAAATCTTTTATCTTTGAATTACCTATATTGAACAAAACGTAAGATATGCATAAATTATTTTATTTGTTAAAATATATTTGTGTGACGTGAATAAGCTGAAGTGAAATCCTAGACAATGGAAGCAGGACAATAGAATAGATTTTAGAAAGATGTGTTTTTGTTAGTTCATAAGAATTGGTAAAAAAAGATTAAGTTTGTAAAGAAGTTTTAGGTAATTTTATAATTGTAGGTAAAAATTTGTTTGTGTTATCGAAATGAAGAAATGGGATCTGTATGACGCGTTTTGATTGGATGAGATTGAAAAAGGTGGGATGGTTGGTTTGAGAATGAGATTTTAGTTAGTTTTTGAAGAAAAAAAGATAGTTAGTTGGTTTTCAAGTGTGCAAGGCGAACAGTCATTGTTCTCTGGTGGTTCCCGAGAGGTAGAGTGTTGAATGCTAGTGAGTTTTTGTGGAGTTAGTGTATCTGACAGAAGCTGATCCAGCAAAATATTGTAAGTCATATTTTTCTACTTATATTCCAAGAGTCACTGTTCAGGCCAACGAGAGATTCAGTTTTTCGTAAAGAGAAGATATTCCAAGAGTCATTTTTCACTCAGGCCAACGAGAGATTCAGTTTATCGAGAGGAGAAGAGGCTAGCCTAATTTGAATGATTCGTGCATTTGAAGGAGATCATTAAGGACGATAAACTTGCAACAATTTGTTGTAAGATTGCTGACTACCTACGGAGCTGCTAAGAATAAATAGTATAGGCTACAAGGAACAAGGATTTGGACCACTCATCATCAGAGAGAGATAGTTTTGTTTTTCTGCAGTTTTTTCTTTTATTGATAACACAATTTTTACAATTACTTTAAAAAAGATATAAATATTTTGATTAGGAGATTTAGAATAATAATTGGGATTTTGAGATTTTAACTAATATTGTTTGTAACAATAATTTTGAAGGTTCACGTACGTAGAACAAAATTTTGAGAATCATTATATGAGATATTGTTGATTGAAAACATTTGAGTGTGAATTTTATTTCATTATTTTTTTATTTCAATATATAATGTTATATCATATGTGTTCTTTATTATTCCGGTATTCTTTGGACCTTACCTTTCACATGTAAAGCATAGATATTGAAGCACGAATATAACTCTGAGATAAGAGAATTAAAAAGTGTGATAGAATCATAGTCATATTATTTAAATAATTTTAATTAATTAATTAATTAGCTAATTAATTGCTTGGTGCACTAAGATTTTGAATATCACAATATATATATATATATATATATATATATATATATATAATATATATATATATATATATATATATATATTCAGGGATTCTACAGTGTTCACTGCCTTCACTTGCTCAACCGTTTCCATCTCTCTCTGTTGTCCCATTCTCCATCGTTTAGGCCTCTCTTACTCATGACGTCGTCTACTTCGTTCTTCCAGGATCTTCGGTGTTGTCCTCTTTTCCTCCTTCCTATGGGGCTCCATTCGGTTATTCCCTTTATCCTTCTGCTGTCGCTAGTTCTTCTTACATGTCCATACCACTTTAGTCTGTTTTGTTCTATATATGTTAGTATGTCTTTTTCTATTGATGTTCTTTGCTTTATTTCGTCATTACTTCTCTTATCCATTCTTGTTACTCTGCAGCATCTTCGCAGGCATTCCATCTCTGTTGCTACTATCTTACTGCTGTTTTTCTTATTTATGTCATATGTCATAATACTTCGCACTAATGTTTTATAAATCTGTGTTTTTGTCTTCATATTTAGGTGTCTATCCCACCATACTGAGTTAAGTTCTCGGATTGCGGTTGTTGTTTGTCCTAATCTTTGCGTAATTTCTTCCTCTGTCGTTGCCTTTTTTGTGATTATAAACCCCAAGTATTTGAATTTATCCTTTCCTTTAATTGTTAAAGATAGTGCATTAGTGCAAGCAATCCTGACCATAGAGCTGCGCGAAGGCGGAGTCAAAATTCACGTATGTATAGCGTTTATTGTGGATCTTTGTTTTCTAAAACCGTACTGTTAATCCCCTATGCTTTGTTCTATATACAGTGAACAGGTCGATTTTTGTTATAAAATACCATCTTATAACGTACATGGAGTAGGAATGACGTCACCGGTGTAGGTGTAGTGACGTAATCGTTAATTTTTTTAATAGAAATCGGTATAATGCGACACCTCATTTAAACGAGAATTTAATTCTCTATTTAACATTACATTTTTAACTAAAATATTTTGTTAAGGGTACAAAACAATTGTTTTTAATTTAAATTTAACTAGATTACAACTAATGATTTAATTAATAATGTACTTTAAAGTAACCAAATCATGCATAATAATTATTTTAAATTAAATGTTCGAAATGCTATCCATAGGTTCCTGCCAGGACTTTCTGAAGTAAATACTTAAGAACCGTTTACACGGGTAGAGTAATGATGCAAGTTCTTGTCGGAGTAGAGTAACTCTACTCTACTCTACTCTAGTAAAAATGCTCAGCGCAGTAGAGTAGCAAGTAGAGTGCATAGTAGATGGTAGAGTAGAGTGACTAGCAACATGTGGCAAAGTAACTCTACTACCACCACCACCGCCAAAATGTCCACTCGCCTGCGCACTCTACCCATGAAACGCGGTTAATTCTGGTAGAGTAGAATAGGTAGGAAAGTGCATAAGGATGCTGTCATTCCGGCTGGAGTTGTTTTGTCTAAATAGTGAAAATTAAGTTCACCGAAGATGAAACTTTAAAACTTGTAGAGATGTATGGCGAATACCAGTGTTTATGGAATTTAGGTAGTGTACACTACATAAATAAAAGTATGAGGCAAACTGCGGAGATGGCATCACACATCTCGGGCACCAACTTTGAAATTGCAGTTCTTGAAACCCTAAAAAAACGAGAAAGGCTTCGATAGCTATTCCTTGTTGCTAAAATATTGAACATAATCTCAAGCTTCACTTTTGGTCCTATTGCATCCCTCATAAACGTGTCTTCTCGTTCGATTTTGTCATCCACCGTATTCAGAAGTTCTTCGAATTTCCCTGGGGTCATCCTTAGACACATCTTATATTCCAACTCATCCTGTAAGGCTAGTTCTCTTAGCAGAAGAGTTGAGGCCCCGTGTGTATTCCTTCTTTTAAGCCACTCTCTCGTCCACTCTTTACTTTGTTTGTTTACCTCATCATCGATAGCTTCAGCGACTTCAGGTTATAAATGCATTTGTAACTGTAGCTAAACATTTTTGAATAAATTTTCTTTTTCTTGAACTCATTTTGCACTAAACAAACACCCATTCTACAATATACTAGCATCAATACTCTACTTGTAACTCTCCTCGTGTGAACGGTATCAAGCCATTTTTGGTAGAGTAGCGAGTAGAGTCGACTCTACACGCTACTCTACTCTCCTCACAACTCTACCCGTGTAAACAAGTCTTTAAAAAAGCAAAAATAAGTAAAAATAATAATGGACACAAAAAGTTATCTCATAAACACTGAAAACACTAACATTTCTAAAAAAACTTAAAAAATACAAAAAATCGGAAAGTGATTATAAGTTGGAGACATATGCAGATTAATCTCTCTCTCGAGAATGTAACTACAACTAATTGGCAAAATTGTAAGAAGTGTGTAAACTAGTGGATAGCGTAACAAAACCATTAATAATTTTAATTGGCAATGCTGACAGTAACACAAGTTCCTCAATGTAATGTAATGTAATTTTAATGTGATTATGATTTATTTTAATTTGTATTTTATAAAAATTAAAAATATAATTAAGTGTCCATTATCTTAATTAACGGATTAAATTCTGCATAGATTTGTACATCAAATTGTTAAACAAAGATATGAAATTTTCAAGTAAGACAATAAAGTGAGGCAAAATGGAAGATGTAATAGATACCGACTTTGTAAAAACATTTTACATTAAATTTTTTTCAAGAAAACTTTTTTACAAAGACACACTTCTGTCTGTTTCAATTAAGGGCCATTAATTTCAATGAAATTAAGTTTTTTATCTGTGAAGTTGTCCGATACTTATTACTAGGTACTTGTCGAAAGCCGGGATGGTTAACAAAAAAAGAAGATGAAGCTGGTGGCATTATTGGGTCTGAATCCGTCTTTTGAGTTTACTCCTATTTTAAAAATAGAGTATAGTTTTATTAAATTTTACCTTAATCCGTACAAAATTCATAATGCACAATTCAAACGTAAAACGTTGCAGTTCATGCGAGTATTTCCAAGGTTCATGAGGTTTTGCACCAACTCTAAATTGTTTATTGTATTTTTTAGTCTTTATTTGTATTTGCAAAATAATTTATTTTATATTTTAGCTTTTTCAAGAGTGTACTCAATTAAAAAGTCTGAACATCGAAATGAGAGTGCCAAATGTACCATTTATGACTAACTTATTCAATGGTTTAAAAGATGCGACAGAATTAAGGGATCTGAGGTAAATATGCGGAAATATACACAACAATTTTAATCCGTCCGCGAAATCAGTTCTCATAGCTTTCTCATAGTCTATAAACGCAACGAAAAGATCTTTTTGTTGGTCTCGACATTTTTTGGGCAAGAGTTGTGAAACTATACAGAGCTTCCACTATTCCGAAGCCGTTACGAAAGCCAAACTGACATTTTCTCATATCCGCTTCGCACTTTCTGAATATTCTTCTATTCTTCTGAATCTATAGTCATTACAATGTTTGTGGTTCTTGGTTTTTGTATAGCGGAACAAAGGTCGATAGCAGGCCATTCTGTAGGTATCTCATCAAATTTGTATGTTGTTAAAAATTATAGTTATTGCACTTAAATTGTCTTCATCTATAAGTTTAATCAGCTCGATATGAACTTCATGTGGCCAGGGGCTCTGCCACATTTTGATTGTTCCTAGCATGTTGGACTTCAGATTTTAATATCATTGGAGCTTCATCATTATCAATTAGTGTTGGTTCCGTTCTTGTGTCCATGAAAAGATCTTCATACACATTTGGAATTTTAAATCCGGAACATAGGATTTTTAATACAAATATAAGATTCTCTGCGTTGCAATTGACCAGTGTAAATTTCTTTATAACGTCGCGATGTTTTGTAATTAATTTATTTGTTCCACTGGATTACTTCTCCTCAGCGGTTTGTAGTAGTACTGGTAGTAGTATATGGCACGCCGACAGTGTTGCTCCGTCTACCGATTTTTCCTGAAAGTCCGGTTTTGTGCAGATAATAAATAATGTTTTATTAACATCAATTTTGTTTGTGTTCATTAGGTATTATTTGAGTTATAAAATTTATACTTAAATACATTTATTATTCCAAATATTGTTTATAATTTCAAGTTAAAAAGAGTGTAATATAATTATTTTATTTTTAAAATTCCTTTTTATTTTTAATTTTAGAAATCAACTTTTTTTTTCAAGCCGTTTTGGCAATAAAACAACCATTTTTTTAGTTATAAAATATTTTCATATCTACATTTATAAATAAGTACGTTTTCGTTGAATTGACATGAGATCTAGGTGTGTTCCGTTTTTACACCTACACTGGCAGCATCGCGGCCTGAATTGAGACTAAAGTAGAACAAATGAATTAATTATGGAGCATCGCGACGTTGTATTGAAGTTTACACTGGTTAATTGCACATCAAAGGATTTGAGCTGTATTAAAAATCCTATGTTCCGTAATTTTTTTTCCAAATCTGTATATTTAGTCCATACTTGTTTTATTTCAATTGAGTTATTAATAGGTTTACTGTTTTTGTCAATGAATCGGTTAGATGTATTTGTTCGTGATTTTCTAGATAATTCTTTCACTTTTTTATGTAATTTATAATAATCATGCTTTTTCTGCAATTCTTCTACTTCGAGGCATGTTTCCATCATCCACTTTTCCTTAGCCTCTTTTATTTTGTTCCTTATTAATATATGTTTTTCTCTGTACTTATTTGTTTTTTTTTTCTATATTTTCTTCTTTGTTCCATGATTTCCAGTATTTATTGAGCCATCCAAGGTTTTCGGCTCTCTGTTTTATTTTGTAGTTTCTTTCTGTGTTGTTATAACAGAATCTTCGATTTTGCTTTACATAATATTCACATTCTCAGTATTTTTCATTTATGATGTTAATTTCTTTATTTATTGATTGATACAAGTTGAAGCCTCAGCACGGATTTCATTTATCTTGAGTAACTGAGTATTCACCTTAGAACTTTTGGATTTTATTATCTTTTTTACCCTTAGTTTCATTTTTGAGATATGGAGGTTATGGTCTGAGGGGACGTCCGCTCCAGGAAAAGGTTTAACGCGTAAGCGTTTATCACATGATACTATAAACTACAGATAAACCCACGCGCACGCGATCAGTCGTGTGACGTCACTTGGCGACAAATGTCACCAGAAATGTTCTGTGTTGTATGGAGTTTTGTCAGATTTAGTCAAGGTTAGTAGATATTTAAGTATCTACTTAAATATCTACTAACCTTGAGATTTAGTTTTGTTTTATCGTTTATCTTGTACGTTGACATCGGTTTACTGGGTAAACCATCTTTCCGAAGGAGGTTTACTTAAACCATATCCAGATTTTCTAATTAAATGTAATGAACTGGACCATATTTTTAACAATTTTAACAAAGGGTCAAACAAATTAACCAAGAATTATTTAAAATCGCTAATGGATTTAGCTGTGTTCAGATGTAATGTTAGTAAAGGTGTAAATTATATTTTAAGATTAGAAAATTGAATAGATATATTAAAGAAACATCCAAAGTTAAGAAGAAGAAAATATTAAAAATTGTAAAATAAATTGTTAAATAAACTTGTAAATTATTACAGTGTATTTTATTTTATCAGTTTTATTAAATTTTTATTTTAATAAATCAATCCATTGTATATAAATTTCCATTTGCAAAAGGATGTTTAGTTCTTACTTTTTTATATAATTTTAGTTTACATTGCTAGGCTAACAGAGATGTATATATAACATATTTTTAAGATTTAATTGCAGATATTTTACCTAACATCCCTTAATATTCTAAATATTTAAATAAAAACCCCTTTTTTTCCATATATGTTTTACCGACTGTGATGATAAAAGGTTGGTGATAAAAGTGACTTTTATCACCAATTGACGTCATGCGCGTCGATGTACAAAATTCGATTGCGAAGTGGGTTTATCTTGGAAGTCTTAGTATCATGCGTTTATCATAACTTACTCAAATATAAAGGTACATTCTCATTTATATGTAGATATCAAAACAATCTGTGCGTTATAACAACGTCAGTATTTCCGTTAAACATTGTTGCTAATTATTTATATTTTTGTAAAATTTTTCTGTTTAATAATTAAGGCTGAACTTACCTTATGAACCTTACTACATATTCAATTTTATTTTTTAGGTTAAATGTTCCATCCATTAATATAGAACGACTTATGACTGAGCTTTGCAAGATCCCTACAAAGAAATTATTACGGCTAGTTGTTATATCACAAATTCAAGACACAAATGAACGAACTCATGACATATACCAAGACTTTTTCAAAAATAATCCTCAACTGGTTTTATTTTATATAATACCTTCTCCAGGAACATCACAATATGTATACAAGATTATAAATGACATTAAAAAACTATATAAAAAACGGTACCATAATGAAAGTATTGCAAAAATAATTTATATATCTGAAAAGCATAATGTAGATTTTACAGCATTTGCACATTTTGATTTCATAAGAAGCATTCCACAGATAGGTCGATTAAATTTTGATGCATTTTAAAGGCTGGATGTCACTTAATGTCGTCGTTAACGTGATAACCGCATCAATGAAGCTTCTAATAGAAATATGGTTGTATCTATATATCACATGGAAGATATTTTATTTGTCTATTCAAGCATATAAATAATTTCAAGTACCGCAGTTTCGAATATATCAAATCAAATTTAAATGAGTATTGAAAATAAATGTAACTATTACTGATAAAATAAATTTTTTTAAATTAGTTTTTTTTATTTTTTCAATATAATTTTGAAAATTCGAACCCACCAAATCCAGATTGTAAAACTTATGTTTGGAAATGGAAAGTATGAACCTTTCATTCAATAGAATTGAGTAACAGTTTAATCTAGTCCAGAGCCTAGAGGCTAACAACCTCTTCCTGCAAAAATGATATGTTACGGAAACCTCAAGAACTATTAGCCGGACGGAATTTACGACGACGACTCTGCAAACGAAAAATGGAATTAAGATTAGGAACATGGAACAGCCGAACCCTGCACCGAGGCATTCTTGACAACAGAACTCACTCCATATATTACAGCTGCAATGAAAACCAACACATCGATGGAGTGGGATTTATAGTAAACCAAAGAACAAAAGGCCTAGTTATTGATTTTAAACCCTACAGTCAAAGAATGTGTTATTTACGCTTAAAAGGTAAATTTTTTAATTACAGTTTAATTGATGCACATGCCCCGACCGACGACAAACTAAAAGGCAATAAAGAACAGTTTTTCGAAGACCTAGAACAAGTCTACAGGTAGGCATAGCCTACATCACATCAGTATCGATAATGGATTACGACTGATAAACTCAGCAGCAGCACTAAACATGACCGTCACTAACATCTATTTTCAACACAAGAATATACACAAGGTAACTTGGACCTCCCCTGATGGAAGAATAACTAGTCAGATTGATCACATCTTAATAGATTCAAGACACGGAACGGACATAATGAACTGCAGAAGTTATAGAGGCGCAAAAATAGACTCAGACCACTGTTTGGTGATCTCAACACTAAGGGCAAGAATTTCAAATTCCAACAAAGAAAAAAATAGATAGAAAGAAATGAAATGTACAGAAGTTGAGAGATGCAACTGTTGCAAAACAGTACTGGGAAATATTACCAATAGGTTAAGGAATCAAAGTCTAAGCGAAGAAGACCAGAGACATATAATCCTACTGGAACAGAATAAAGGAAGATATTGAGTCAGCAGCACAAGGTGAAATAGGAACAGAAACTTGTACCCGAAAAAATCACTGGTTTGACGATGAATGCAAAGACGCAACACAGAAAAAAAATGAAGCCTATGCAAAAATGCTTACCCGCCGAACTAGAACAAGTGTAGAGAATTACCAGACAAAGAGAAGAAAAGAAAATACACAGAATGAAGAAACGAAACCACTTAAAATAGGAACTTCAATATATAGAAAACCTCAACAGAGAGAAAGAATTCAGAACATTCCATAAGAAAGTTAACATCAACAGAAAAGAATTCAAGGCAAACACAAATCAATGTAGAAGTTTGATCTATTAACAACAAGAACAGATGTACTAAATCGATGGACGGAATATTTTAACCAGATACTTAATATAGAGGAAGAAGAAGAAAACTCGAAAGACGAAAGCTGTGAGGTAAGCGGAACAGACGAGAGGGAGGAGGATCCACCAACGATCCTGGAAGACGCTGTAAACAAACTAGCCAGAAACAAATCATCCGGAATAGATAATCTCCCAGCGGAATTATATAATGAAGGTGGCCACGATATCGTAATAGCGCTACAGCAGCTTATAAAAGAAATATGGATACAGAAGTCCCTTCCCAGTGATTGGGATATTGGAATACTTTGCACCATCCACAAAAAGGGAGATATCTTTGAATGCTCTAACTATCGAGGAATTACGCTCCTAAATGCAGCATATAAAATATTCTCCAATATACTATGCCATCGTATGGCACCATATGCAGAGCGAATAATAGGACAATATCAGGCTGGTTTTAGAGGTGATAAATCAACAATTCATCAGATTTTAACCCTGAGACAAATTCTAGAGAAAATACTGGAATACGGTGTAGACACACACCACATATTTATAGACTACAAGGCAGCCTACGACTCTGTAAATAGAAGAGAATTGTTTAGAGCAATGATAGACCTAGGAGTACCAAATCAGTTTTTTAAGTCTAACCAAACTAACCCTTGAAAAAGTTGAATGCAGAGTACGAATCCAGGGGAACTCTCTGAACCTTTTAAAACAAATAAGGGACTACGCAGGGAGACCCACTCTCCTGTATACTATTCAATCTAGCTATGGAAAAAGTAATATGTACGTCACAAATCACAACTACCGGTTCAATATATAACAAATCTGTGCAAATCCTAGAATATACTAATGATATTAATATTGTTGGAAAAACGGAAAACGCAGCACGAGAGGCGTACGTAGCACTAAAGGAAGAGGCTACAAAAATGGGTTTAATAATAAACACCAATAAAACGAAATACATTAAAATAGGTACGCAACCACAAATACTACGGCCACTTGTTTTTGAAAACGACGTCATCGAAGCAGTTAACGAATTTGTATACCTGGGAACGCTTGTCAATATTGAAAATGACACTACCGCAGAGATAAACCGCAGAATTTGCACTTATAATAGATGCTATTTGGGCTTAATCTCCTTTTAAATCTAGAGTTAATCAAGAAATACAAAAGTAAAACTCTACAAAACAATAATACGCCCAGTCCTGAATTTGTATGGTTCAGAAACCTGGACCTAACAAAAAGCAATGAAAACATGTTAGGATGTTTCGAAAGAAAAATACTGAGGCGAATCTATGGAGCGGTAAATGAAAATGGTGTCTGGAGAAGACGACACAACTTCGAACTCTATAGAATATACCAGAAACCAGATATAGTAAAACACATTAAGATATGACGTCTGAGGTGGGTAGGCCATGTAATGCGGATGGAGCAAACCGACCCAGCTAGAAAAACGCTCCTTGAGAGACCTATTGGTCAAAGAAGAAGAGGAAGACCCAGAACAAGATTAATAGATAACATAGACCAAGATATGAGAAATATGAAAATACGTGCTTGGTGGAGGAAGGCGATGGATAGGGACGACTGGAAAAAAATTCTTAGGGAGGCTAGGACTCACACAGGGTTGTAAAGCCAAAATGATGATGATGATTAATCTAGTCCAACTTTTGTCGTTCAATTGATGAGTCATAACAGATTGTTTTTACCACAGAATACACCATCCACAAAGAAGCGAAACGAAGATGCTTTTTTACGAATCCGCCATATTCTAAATAGTTTATCTGTCAAACTACAAAAACTGAAGTTTGTTTACAATTTAGGTACATATCGAGATTGTATATTGTATGTATTATTTGTAAGATTTTCGTGTTGAGAAGTGGTGTTTAATAGTAAAAAAAGAATAATACCTACATATTTTTGAAATAAACTTATTGTGATTGGTGCACCCAAAGGAGGATTTTCTTATGTTGTTCGTGGATGCCTGTCTAGATCTGGTGAAGAAATAAGTCTCTTTTCAATACCTAGCCATTGTAGCAGGTAAAGAAATTAAATTTGATGTAAGATTTACTTTCCAAGCATGTGACTGAATGGCATAAAAATTATAAAATGTGCATGCACATTTTCAACCATAATACATGTCGAAAGGAAACGATAGAAAGACAATATTTATGCAAGCATATCCTACAATATTCTCGCACAGCCAATATTCATAATGCACAGACGAACCATTAAAGATAGTTATAAGGCTGGAAGGTAGGTCTTCTTCTTATAGTGCCGTGCACCTATAGTGCTTTGGCGAATTATCTTAAGGCCAGACGTCTGTCTTTTGCGGCATGCAAAAGATCGCCGGTGTTATTTGCGCCTGTCCAGTTCTTTATATTTCGTAGCCACGACATTTGTTTGCGACCTACTCCTCTCTTGTCTTCAATCTTTCCCTCGATGATTAGTTGAGGGATTGCGTATTTTTTCCTCTCAGAATATGGCCGAGGTATCCAATTTTTCGTACCTTGATTAAATTGACTAGTTCCTTCTCAGTATTTGCCTTTCTTAAGACTTCTTCGTTTCTCACTCTATCTGTCCATGGTATACGGAACATTCTTCGCAACGTCCACATTTCGAAGGCCTCCGAACTTATTAATGGAAGGTACTCTTAACGTCCATGTTTCCATGCCGTATAACAATATGGACCATACATAGCATTTAACCATTCTGTAGCGGAGATTGAAGGAAAGATTGCGGTTACATAGTAGCGGTTTAAATTTGATAAAAGCTTGTCTTGCTTGTTCGGTACGGCATTTTATTTCATGTTGAGGATTCCATTTGGTCATTTGTCATCATTTCCAAGTATTAACACGTTTTCACTTGATCGATTGGAGCATTATCTGCTTGCAGTTGTATTCTTAAAAGGGTGTTTTTTCTTATTGCAATGCATTTAGTTTTTCCAGCATTTATCTTCAAGCCATATATTTTTCCTACGGTGTTTATTTTATTTAACATCCACTGCATTATCATGTTCGTTGTCTGTTATTATCGCGGTGTCGTCGGCGTAACGAATGTTATTTATCGGAAACTCGTTTACCTTTATTGTCATTGACAGAATAGAAAGAAGGGGTTTAAAATGGTTTCGACACCTATTGAGAATGCCTGACGAACGTTGGCCCCAAAAATTTCACAACCCCCTGGAAGAAAAAAAAGAGGTAGACCTCGACGCTCATGGAATGAAGGAATAAGAAGAGCAATGGAATCGAGAGGTTTGGAGGAGGAGCATGCCTTGGACCGAAGGATTGGCGGAGGAGAACGGTAATAAGACCGTCTCCAAAATGTATTGTATTTACAAGTTGGTCCTTTAATATATATATATATATATATATATATATATATATATATATATATGTATATATATATATATATATATATAAATATATATATATATATATATATCTATGTAAAAGAATAAATCTTCTAGCAAAAGCTGCTATCGCTTTGATCAATTATATGGCCTAAGAAGACAAATTCGTTAAACTTCCCGTACTCGAATCGGTATCAATAAAGTGTTATGAATCATTTCGGCCTATCCCAGCCTCATCAGACACTTGGGCTGATACAAATTTAAACTCGGAAAGTCCAACGAATGTCTCCCAAAACTTCCTTACAACAAATTGTTCTGAAGCTATTTTCTTGTGGCATTTTAAATTAATTACTATTTAACTGGAAATAAGCCACAATTAAAGATAAAAATACGTTTATTGAGTGGAAATTGAAACGTCAATAAACGTATTTTTATCTTTAATTGTGGCTTATTCCCAGTTAAATTGTAATTAATTTCCTTACAACAGTAGTTGTACACTACAATACTCCACAGTACTTCACTACAATAGTTTGTGTGCTAACTACTGTTGTAGTGAAGTTTTGGGAGAGATTCGTTGGACTTTCCGAGTTTGAATTTAAATCAGCCTAAGTGTCTCATGAGGCTGGGATAGGCCGAAATGATTCATAACACTTTATTGATACCGATTCGAGCACGGGAAGTTTAATGAATTTCACTATTTCCTATTCCTATTCCTATGAATAACTCAAATTATCTTATTCATTTACCTTACAAACCTTTCCTTGTACTTAATGAATTTAACTATATCTACATGGAAGATATATGCACAGAAATAGACTCAGAAGAGTACATATGTAACGGAAGTAATAAACTATCGATAACGGAAGAAGCCTTTGTGCAGAACAATTAATGAATTTTAAGAAAAAGGCATTATCATGTGAACATTTCGAAGTAAAGATGAAGAAGATGGAATCTACAATAATCAGTGACGGAAAATGGTTAATTACAGTTCCAGAAGAAGAATTAGCAATTATCGAGTACCCAAACTCAAAAGAAAATTTACCAATACATAGAAGCTACGTTTTATAATCAGTTCCCGAATGTACCGTAAAAATCAAGAATGAAGTCTTCCAAACAGAAAAAATTAGTAAAAGTCACTTTGCTCATATAAATCTTCCAAAAGTTATTCCTTCTATTAATATTTTTTAAAATGAAAGTTAAAATTTTTTACCAATAAATCTTAATACAATTAACCTTAGAAAGACCAAAGATATTTTAGAAAAGTTAGAAACACAAAAATATAATTTAAAAGATGATAATTGAATTTATTTTAACCAAACAAGTTTTTGGCAATCTGTATATATATATATATATATATATATATATATATATATATATATATTATATATATATATATTTATATATATAAAATTATTTTATATATAAAATTTATATATATATATATATATTATATATATATAAATAATTTTCATTTTAATTTTATATTATTTAACTAAATATTGTAAAACTGTGCGTCAAAAAAAAAACAAGAAGAAATAAGAAACCCAAGAATTTATTGTGTAAAGAAGCACACCCTAAGTGTAAGGATATGCTTCTTACTAAGGACGGAGGAGTTACGTTCCTGGATTATCTAATGTGTGACGACATATAGAAAGACTATATCGATTGCTTACATGTAAAACCTGGTATGTCTGATTAACTATATTGTTCAGGACGCGATAAAATGTATTTAATTTCAAAAAAACGGCACTTTTTGTTACTATGTTACTATGTACACACGACGATTATTGTTACTATGAGACATACAAGTTTTAACACTGCAGCAGAAGAGACATGCAAGGGTTTCCAATGTTAATAAATAATTTTTTGTAGACTGTACTGATTTATTTTAAAAAATAATTACATATATTTAAAATTTGAAAATTTGCATACAAAAAAACTCAGATTTTTACACAGGATCAAATCACAACATAATATTAAAAAAAATCAAAGATTTTTATTTTATTTATAGATTTTTATAGATATTTTTATAGATATAGATGTTTATAGATATTTTTATAAATTGTTTAAAGAATCATAGAATTCGTGGAAGTCTTTGGGAATTATACTCTTTAGTTCTTGTAGATGCTGGTACTTATGGAGTTTAATCTTTTGTGGGCATTGGTACAGCTGTTTTGGCTCTTCAAATGTATCAAGTTTTCGCACTATTTTTCTCAACACAACCCAGTTTTCATAAAAACTTAATTTATAAAAGACTTCTTTCTCCGGAGTGTACTTTAATGCTGACATGTCTGTAAAAATGGATTCTCCTGCATTCGTACCTAGTCTTATTGAGGTAAAAAAAGAATGATCCAGGTAAACTACTTCGTAAGGTTTTGGGTTCCTTCTGGCGCTTTTCATTATTTTTATATAATCAGCTGGAACATAGATTTCTCGAGTTCTAACTCTTTTTCCATTTGAGCATGGATGGAGTCACACTTCATTTGTGTATGCCCATGTTCCAAGTATTTTTGTCCAATAGTTATATTTTTCTTTGCACACATTAGTAAAAAACTGTTTGTCAAATTTGAATTGCGGTTTTGGTAGCAACAACCGTCACTCCAAATTATTACTGTTTCATTAGGAAGCGATTTCAAATAATTTTCTATGTGGTGAGTGATTAAACAAACAAACTCATTGGAAGTGACTCCTCCTTCTCCCTCATGCCAAACATAGCACACTCCATCTTTTGTCTTGTTGTTATAAATTGTATAGTTGTGTATAACTAGCTTCTATTTATAATATAAAGCAGAAGCTTTTAAGGATGGTGCTAATAAAATAGCTTGCTTGTCTACTGTAAGTATATGATCTGTACTCTGGTTGTCATAAATTTTTTCATTTCTTGCCAATTTCTTTTTTAATAAGTGATTTTCGTATGTTTCTAAGGGTAAATTCTCTATTTTGTGACTCGTGCATAAATTTCACTGGTTTTTCTTAGAGGAATGTAGATTGACAAATTGCGAGCTTCAAATTCTTCGTGAAATCTTTTAATGCTAACAAAGTATTTTTTCAGTTCTTTACATTTTTCGTTGTATAGTTCAAAAACTTGCATCTTGGTTTGAAAAACTGATTCCACATAAAGCTTCGTGGTATCCCTCCTACAATAGTGGCTTTCTATTTTTGTCAAAATTTCAAAGAAGTCTTTCAGCATCAGAGCTTTATCGTCATTCTTCTGGGATTTTCTTCGTTTTCGGAGCCATTCGGGCCCCTTAAGCCAATTTAAAACTTAGAAAGTTTGCTCAATGCATATACATAGGTAGTAGATTCTAGTTCAGCTTAAAGACAAAATGAGTAAAAATTAGACTTACAAGGATTTACAAGTAAGCCATCGATATATACCAGTGTTTAATTAGATTAAGAGCTTTTTGTTTTGTAGTTGTTACCGTACTTGTACGTTTCTAATAAATAAATTTTGCTAGGAAAATAATTTTTAAAAACCCGTTTTCGGCCTTGAATTTCGTAACTTGAAAATAATACAATGATCCAAACCAAATTAGATACTCACCTTTAGTAATTAATGTATGCTTTTATATGATTCGCCTGGTGCTAACATATTAATTGTATCAGTATGTTTTAGTTGCCGGCTATAACAAAGAGTGTATCATTATTTACTTGTTTACGAGGGTTGAGAATATTAGACAATAATATTTGTTAAAAATGATATCGCACTACTAAGTGCTCTAAGATACCAAATTTAGATTAATCATTAAGGTGTTTGATTTTGGTAGGTACTATCTGCAACACGAACACAGTGATAATAATTATATATGCCCCATTCGTCGCGACTATGACTAAAGGAATTTTAATACTAATTTGCTGTGTAATTTGTGCCAATTATGGAATTATTGGTAAGTTAAAAGGTTCTTCTAAATTTATTTTTTGTTTAAAAAAAGTGTAATAATTACCCCTATAAAAATTAATAATATATAATAATTACTCTTATAGTAATTTTGTTATATTTCATCATTATATATAAATAGTAAAAGTTAATGAGTTAAATTTGATAAAACTAGGTCATTCTTACTAATTTTAATTTAACAGGTAAAATGAATAAACATTGAAGTTATAAAGATAAAAATTATTTTTATTTATAATAAATCAACATTATTTCAAAACATTGTTAAAATATAAGAATATGGTATTAAAAAAGTCAGTCATTTTTTTTGCTTTAGAGAATTCCGTTGTGCCCTATCTATATCATTGTCTAATGTATAAAGAGCAAATTATTCTCGTTCTTCAGAGTTGCAGGTTTGCTCTTTAAACGTAAGGTATTCAATGGTATTCTTTTCTCCTTGATGGAAACCCATGAACCGCATGTCGTATTATTCAAGCCTTCTATCTCTCTAATCTATCTAATTGGCCTTCTTCGGTCCATCTTTGGACATAGGCCTCCCTAATCCTTTTCCATTCTTCTCTGTCTGTCGCTACAGTCATTCATCTAGAGCCCACGTGCTTCTTGATATCATCTGCGCATCTCAATTGAGGCCTTCCTCTGCTTCGTTTATATTCCTGTGGTCTCCAACTTATAAGAATTTTGTTCCATCGGTCTTCTTTTTGTCTTATATTGTGTCCGGCAAATCTCCATTTCAATTTTGTCTTCTTGTCTTCTTGTCTAACATCCCTCACTTTTGTTTTCTCTCTTATCCACTCGTTTCTCTTTTTATCCATTAGTCTTATGTGCAACATTTGTCTTTCCATTGCTCTTTGGGTTTTTATGATTTTGTCCATGTTTGCTTTTGTAAATGTCCACGTTTGGGAACCATAAGTAAGAACAGGGAGTACGCATTGATTGTAAATTTTGGTCTTAAGATGCTATGGATATCCTTTGTTTTTAAGAATGTAGCTTAGTTTTGCCTCCCATGCCAGTCTAACTCGTCTTTTTATCTCTGCTGTTTGGTTTTCTTTGTTAAGTTTTATAGTTTGACCCAGATATATAATCCTGAACTTGTTCTATTTCATCTTGTCCGATTCTCATTGTGATGTCTTCATCTGTATTTGTTATGGTTTTGGTCTTGCTGTAATTTATATTAAGACCTATCTTTCCAGGTTCTACGTCTAGTTCTTTCATCATTTCAAATAATTTTTTTTTTATCGGTTATCAATACGATGTCATCAGCGTACCTTAGATGGTTCAAGCGTTGTCCACAAATTTTTATACCTTTTTCTTCCCATTCTAATCTTTTAAAAGTATCTTCCAGAACCTGATAAAAAGTTTCGATGATATTGTGTCACCCTGTCTCGCACCTCTATTTATTTGTATTGATTTTGTTCCTTCATATACTTTAACTGTTGTTTTGGCTTCCTTATTATATTGGCTATTAGTTCCGGATATCTGTGGTCAATTCTGCTGTTAATCAAAGAACTTTTAACTGACCAATGTTCGATACTGTCGAAAGCCTTTTCGAAATCTACGAACGCGATATATAGAGGAATTTGGTATTCATTTGCTCGTTCTATAAGTATTTTCGTACTTAGTAAATGGTTACTTGTGCTGAATCACTTTCTAAAACCAGCTTGTTTTTTCGACTGGTATCCGTCGAATTTTGTCGTCAATCTATTGGTTAAAATTTTTGTTAATAGTTTATAGATTACATTGAGGAGTGTTATAGGACGGTAGTTTTTTATATCTGCTTTATCCCCTTTCTTGTGTAGGATAATGGTTACTGATTCCTTCCAGTTGTTTGGAATTCTTTTTTCTTTTAATATCCTGTAAAAAAGGGAATGTAGAGTATTATTTACCACTTTTCCACCATATTTCAGCATCTCTGTAGTTATTCCATCTTTTCCAGGCGATTTGTTGTTTTTCAATTCTTTCAATGCCTTCTTTATTTCTGATTTGCTTATTTCTGGCTGTAGCTCTGAGTTGACATTTTTTATTTTAGCCTTAAGTTGGTTTTTAATTTCTTCTGGTGGTTCCTTTTTTGTTTTATATAATTCTGAGTAGAAATGGTGGATTATATTTATGATGCCATCTTTAACGTTTGTATGTTATTTGTGTTTATGTTTATTTTAAACTTACCTAATTTCGGCCTTAAGCATTTCATATTTTTGTTGCTCTGTATTACTTCTTCTATTTTTATTTCTTTTTCTTTTCTCTTATTTTCTTTTATCATTTTGCTTATTGTGTTATTGATTTCTACATATACTATATATTTCCTTTTGCCTTCATCGTTCAGCTTCCTTCTTTTATCCATAAGCTTCTTTGTTTTTGTTGATATATAGTTGTTTTTTTTAGATCCTTTTTTGCTATTTCTTTTCCTGATGTAATCATCGTTGTTGTAAGTAATGTTGTCTATTTCGTCTATATCTTGATCATCACTGTCTAATTTTTGGGTAAGTTGTTCTTTTAATAGGTCTTTGTATATCTCTTTATATTGCCCTAGTTTGTTTCTATCTACTAGATCCCAGTTTCTAATTATTTTTCTTTTCATCAAATTATTTTGCTTTTCAAGACTTCTATGCCATCTAAATCATAAGTATTTGTTTTATCAGCTACTGAATCGATAATTTCGTCATCAGATAATGTCCCAGCAGTCATAACTATATCATCGCACGAACAAACTCCTTAAAAGGTATTCTTGATTCCGATACCACTTTATTCCATTCTGCCGGAGGTAAAATACAAACATCTTCAGCTTCAGCTTCTTTTATTCTATTCAGAAAACCACAGTGTAGATAACAGTTTCTTATTTTAGTCGTAGTTACATTTCTATAAGCTTTATCAGCCATTCTCATGGCTTGCAATACAGCTACACTAAAATTCTTTTTACTTCTGCTTTAACTGATTTAGCTGATTTAACTGCTTTCATTTGTAAAATATCATTATGGACTGTACAATTATCAATGACCAACAAGATTTTTTTCTCTTGGGCTATTTTATTATCGATATTTATGAGTCAGGTGTTGAACATGACCGGAGTCATCTATGCTTTTGTATTTGTTTCATATTTCAAGTGATTGAAATCTTGAAACAGCGAGGTTTTTTAGATTTATCAATCACTATTAATGAGAGTTTTTCTGTGTCCAATATGTTTCCTGCTGCTAAATGTATTAATAAAGTGCACTAAATAAATAAACTTAATACTGTGACTAAACTAAACTAATAAATACTATACTATACACTATCATCATCATCAACTAGCCTCTAACGTCCACTGCTGAACATAGACCTCTCGCATGCTTTTCCACTTAGTCCGATTTTGCGCCATCTGAATCCAATTTGTAGTCACTCTTTTTATGTCATCTGTCCATCTCGTTGGGGGTCAGCCCAACCCCAACCCCCCCAACGAGACCCCCCCCCCAACTATACACTATACTATATAAAAAATATCTATATAATAGACTAAATTTCAAAATATTATCGCTGAGAGAAATTTCCGAAAAATAGTAATACCAAATACACATCTAACAGTGGGTGAAGACGGATAAAATATTTTTTGGCGGAACTGCACTATCCAGTTTTCCAAGGATAGGCTGACTTCACGTAGCCATGGCAACCGTAAACGCTTATGCAGATGGATTTCGCATTTCAAAAATGATATTCACCTATTCATGAATCCTACACGGATAGTGACACAGGTCAGGATTTGACCATCAAGTACCTACCGCTAATAAAGCTAGTTGTCTTTTTGATTTTTAGAGTAATTAAAAGAGAACATATAATTGATTTCAGCATTTAGATATAATAATGTTGCTTTTATTTTTTATTTATTTGTCTCAATTTAATTATATTTTTTTGGTGAACCTCACCTTCACCTACTTCACCTAGCCGGCTGCCGCTAATATTTCGACTTTTTCTTGTAACAATGGTCCACTTACACTGATTTTTTGGGCTCGACTTTGCTCAAACCATTTAAGTAAGCACTCCACCAAGTTCGTAGATTCTATCGTCTTTTATAGGACACATTTTCACCGTTTTGAATTTTTTCCTAATATATGATTCACTTTTTATTCTCGTTGATAGAGTACTCATGGGTAGACCAAATTGTTCAGCTACATCTTTCTTCTTTTGAGTTTTTCACAGCTGCCAACACTTGTCTTCAGCGAGACTCAAAGTTTTCAGTTTACGTTACACAGCACTCATATTTTAACACTTTTATTTTTAAACTGTTCTGCAAATTCATGTCTATTGCGGTAAACATTAGCGCCGCCAGGATTATTTTCAGATAGGTGCATCTGCATCTACACATACTATATTTTTCAATATAAAATATAAAATTATACATACATAAATAGCTATGTACTTTTTTCCGGACAGGGCTCCCCTCCTGGTGCAATTTCACCAAATTACCGCCGCTCATGGCGGTAGAAATAAACTACTTTTTTAATTGAGTACAAATGACTTCTTTTAAGTTTAAATGAAATCAAAAATAATAAAATTAATACCTAACACCAAGCAAGCAAGCATGTGTTAACGTTAGTCATAAGTTCCTTACTTAATAATCCTGTTTATTGTATACTCCCAAATTGGTTTCTAAGAGACAATGGTGTATATTATATTGTCGACAAATTCTTAGTAACTTCTAGTCGGTAACTTATTTTTTCGAGGTATAAAAGTAATAAAAATATTCGTGTTGTAAAGGTAATGGTCTCCTTACATTGTCGGTAAGTTCTAAAAGTTTGTAAAATATGTTCGAGATACAGAGGTCCAATTTAATTTTTAAGTTTATAGAGGGAAAATATGTACCAAAATGGCTTGAAAGGACTCAATGATTATTTCGACTAACAGAGGGTTGAAATTTCGACTAATGGAGGTTTTGGTGCTTGAAGGGAAGGGAACAAAACATTTTTTTTGAGTTTTATTTATATATATTTATATATATATATATATATATATATATATATATAT